GCCTCTTGTTCAACTTGGTATCCACAAGGTCCTTCCCTGCCAAGCAGCTTTCCAGCAGGTCAGCCCCCAGCCTGTGCTGGTGCATGGGGTTATTCCTCCCTAGGTACAGGACCCTCACTTGGCTTTGTGGAACTCCATGAGGTTCCTCTCTGCCCAGCTCTCCAGCCTGTCGAGGTCCTTCTGAATGGCAGCCAAGCCCTCCTCTGCTGTATCATTAGCAAACTTGCTGAGGGTGCACTCTGTGCCTTCCTCCAGGTCATCGATGAATATGTTGAACAAGACTGGACCCAGGACTGACTGCTGGGGGACACCGCTAGCTCCAGGCCTCCAACTAGACTCTGCCATTGACCACAACCCTCTGAGCTCGGCCATCCAGCCAGTTCTCAATCCACCTCACTGTCCACTCATCCAGGCCGTACTTCCTGAGCTTGCCTATGAGGATGTGATGGGAGACAGTGTCAAAGGCTTTGCTGAAGTCAAAGTAGGCAACATCCACTGCTCTCCCCTCATCTACTCAGCCAGTCATTCCATCGTAGAAGGCTATGAGATTGGTCCAGCATGATTTCCCTTTGGTGAATCCATGCTGACTACTCCGGATCACCTTCTTGTCCTCCACATTCTTAGAGATGGCCTCCAGGACCATTAGATAGTATTCTTTATGAGGCACAACTATTTATTTACATATTTATTTCCTTGGCTTCCAGTGAGCCCAGATGGAGCATGGACCTTTTAGGAGTATGTGCTTCACTCTCTACGGGTAGCAGCTAATCCTAAGCAGGCCCCGTTGAGATGAGCTGCAGTCTAAAACTGCTAATGGGAGGCTGTGTGTGTATGTGTGTGTACACATGTATACGTATATACATAAATATATGTACAAAGGCACTTCTACCTATTAATTCGGATGATCTGATGAAAAATGGGGATTATTTTATGGAGCATGAGGCATGTCTCCAGCTGAGCTTCATGGAAACTATTTCAGGTGAAACGTACCAACCTGGTGTTCCCAGAGGATCTTGTGACCTGATTTTCAACATTGCTGAAGGCATTCAAGTCCACCTGGGAGCCAGAGGGGTTCAGCGCCTTAGAAACTCAGCAGAACTCCTTGGCTTAAACTCTGGCCCGGTGCACAGGAGTTGCATGGTAATGGGGAGTGCAGGGCCTTGCTGTTGCACCCAGGCAGAGAAAAGTGAGTTATTTTCCTCCTTTGTGAATTCTGCTAGCAAAGAGCTAGATTAGTGCGTGATGATTTCTCTGATGTGGAACCCTCCAGGACTGCCTAAAGAAAAGATGAACAAAGATTTTGCCTATTTGTTCCCTTTTTAGCCGAAAGGACTCCCAGTTGAGACTTACATGCTGGTGCTGCCTGTGTAACATTTCTACTGTATCTTTAGATGATTAATATTTTCTTCATTGGTATCAAGATAGAAACAGCACAGAAACTTCAGGACAATACTAACTTGGACTGGGATTTTCTAAGAAGGAAGTTAAGGGCTCTCTACTGTGCCCACTCCTGGAATTCATATGGCTTTATAACTTACCTTTCTTTAGGTCTTGTCTTTGATTTTTCGTTAAAAATATAGTATTCTAATTTATGTTAGTCACAGAAGGACATGCCACAATGTTAGTCCTACCTTTAGGAAAGAGGGCCTCTTTCTAGTTATTCATAATCAGATATAGGATTAATGATGATCAGACTGTCCTAAAAGCTTAGTCTGTAAGAGAAAGTGATACTATTTTGATTATTGATTATTCTGCCTAAAGATAGGATTCAAATGCAGTTTTAACTATATGACTGCTACTGACACTTTCATAGTAAACTGTTAAGCAGGGGAACTAGCTCAGGATCTGTCACTCAAGTCAGGCTCAGATTAGGTCCTTGTCTGGTAATAGTGCTGCCTCCTGCAATAGCGTGCATACAGCGTTCTTACCGCAGACAAGCCAGCGCCCTGTTTAACTGTGACATGAGGCATAAAGCTGCCAGTGTCCTTGCAGCTGTGATGCTCCGATCTTTTTCCCTGTCACTGTGTGGCAGCACTTCTCCATGTAATGGGGGCTGCTCTTCCCTTCAGCTATAGGACCAGGTGAATGATCAAAGCCCTTTTGTCACTAGACCTCTCCCTGTTCCTCTTTATTTGCTGTTTTTCTCTTATTCTCCCCACACTGGGTTTTCATCCTTCATTGTCCCCACTTCTTTTTAAGGCTTTGCGTTTAAAGTGATTCCTATTTCCCGGGCTTTATTGTTAGATTTTTCTCATGTACTTTCCAATTACGAGATTCTTAAGATGTGAACAATGCTCAGAAATATGAACTATATGGGACGCTATAACAGACTTGGAAAAAAGGTGTTCATTCCTATCCTATGTGTATGTAACTTTATGTTCCTACTTTAGACACTTGATCTCACAAGGCTCCCTACTTAATCAATGGAGAGAGAGGTGCACTAAATTAGACGCCTGCTCCAAATGGCTCTCAAGGCTGCCTGCTTCTCTCTATTGATTACACAGGGAATGGAGGGAAGCTAGTCAGATGCCTCTAGCAGATGGTGTGAATGCTCCCCTCGCCCCCACAAAAGGGCACAAATGCTGATCGCATCCCAGGGAGCATTTGGAGCTTGCTGGAAGAATGGAATATCAGCATCCTCTGAGCCTCCTTATCCTCTTACTTTGTATCTCAGGATCCACTTCCAAATGTCAGTGCATCTCTGCTGTGGTTACATCTAAAACAATTGCTGTGAAAGAAGAGGTAAATTACAGCTGCTCGTGGGGGCCAAGAGCAAAAATTTGCCTAAAAGCGCTGCATATTTGGGAATATCTGCTTTAACTTGCTTGGCTTTGTGCCAAGTCATTTCTGTCACTTCTGTAAGCATTAACTCTCTCACCACAAAATTATACCCACTACCCACCTTGTTCTCTCCTCTGCTAGTAACTTGTCTTCCAGAGCAAAGTACATTCAGTTTTCTGGACTCTTCCAGTTCACCTGCTTCTTGCTCTTTGGCCAGTTTTCAGTTCAGTGTATTCATTCATTCCTTTTCCTTTCACCCCATGACAACCATCAAGGACATTAAAACTGGTAAAAGTATTCATTTATTTTCTTTAGATCGCAACAGGCCTTTTAGCCAACAAGCATGTCAGACTATGAGTTTTATAAGGAAACAGGAGAAACAACAATGCCCTAATAGTGTTTTGTTGCACAAACCCTTCTCCTCCTGAAATCCTACCCACCACACAGTGCAAGAAGGGA